CGTTCCTTCTCCTAGGGCTTCCCTGTCGGTTGGCCTCCTTTAGGCCTTCCACGAAAGTCACAAGCAACGAAATTCATAACCATGTTTGTTGGGCCGCATCTATCATGTAGGTATAATAATTCAATATGTCTCACTCACGAAAGTTATTTAAAAAGACGTATCTAGACATACTTCTCAACCCTTATGCACTGTTCGCACGACGCTAGTATTTTAGTCGAGTTGCGAATATTTAATAGTTCTCTCTCACTTATATTTTGGGACATAAGCGAGAGAGAAATACTGAACATTCACTACTCGATTTAAATATTAGCGTAGTGTGAACAAGGCATTGGTGCTATACGTAATGGCCAGTAGAAAAAGAACGTGCTTCTATAGGTAGGTATGTTTGGGTATATGCCTCTCAACTCAAACATCAAAAATAATACACGCACTTTTAAATGGAGCCTCTAAGATTCCAGACGACGATTAATTGTGGTTTTATTTCATGCAATTAGATTTTTTGTCGTAAAAACCATGTCAGCGCAATATTACCGGTACTAACAAGAGTTATTAGCAAAAGTTATGGGTGTAATAAAAACTAGAAGACGTTATTATTTCTTACACAATTTTTACGGTTAATGCTCTACATGTCAACTCTGATATTTATTTACGAAAATAACGATAAAATGTTACTTTTAATGAAGCTTCAAATTTTTATTGCATAATTAAATTAAATCTACTAGGTATCGTCATAAAAAAACCTTTTCTTATATGATGTAAATAGAAATCCGATTACGCATACAAACATTCAAAACGATTAAAAGAAAAAAACGTACCACAAACAAAATAGAGTTTGATGATCCGTAACTAGGCAACAATACCAATTTTCGTTACGATTTACTATGGGAGCGAAAGTGACCCATAATAAAAATAAACTATCAATTACGTGGCGTAATTTTATGTAATAAATAAATAGCATTACATCTTTGTTGACCGCAACGATTTTAAATCAGTCGCGGATTCGAATCAAATCAGGTTGGCGGCCATCTTGAGTATTTAATTAATCAGTTCGATTTTTAAAATAATGATGAGCTTTATAGGTTGAGATTGTTAAACTATCTGCATTTTTTATCTTTATCTGCATTTACTACTTATTTAATAAAAAAACTCTAGTAGTTAAATAGATTATTTACCTAATTTAGTAGTGTTTTTACGTACGAGCTTCCGACTTAAGAACTGGACATGGACAGTTGTCCATGTAGTCACATACAACTCACGATGAACTTATGGAATAAGTTCGTGAATGAATCAAAATTACTCATTTTTAGTACAATAATTTTGGGGTGTATTTTTGATATGAGCATGGCACCAATTTCTAATAAAAACTACGTGAACGAGTAGCAAAAATCTTGACCTTTGAAAATGTAATGGACGTGGGATGATTAGAAATATTGTATGGGGACAGTTAAGTTGTAAAGGTGCTATCTCGGTCCTTGTATTGTAGGTAGCTCTATCTACCGTACTAAATCTTTTCAATCTTTTGACACAATTAAAGAACAATAGTTTGCGGTCACCGGTGACCGCTCGATGTTCGCAGTTTAAACTTTAAATCGCGATGCAGAAAGAGCACTTTCCCATGTCTAAATTAACACTAACAAATAAGAACAAGCAATTCGTCACATGGATTCTTGAGTAAGTTGTAAGTCGGTCGCTATTCGCTATAAATATAATTACACTCGTTAACAAACAGTTAGCATGAACCTGTGATGCTGCTATTGCGTAGCCAGAAGTTATAAAAATTTCAAACGGAAAATACTTTAAAATTCATAGATTGGTGTAAAGGTATTTGATTGAAACACTGATGCAGCGTCTCCACTCACAAAATGTTGAATCGATTGATAATTCAATGTTCATGTCCTAATTATATAGTCATTGCACTTAGATTATTATGTTAATTATTACATAAACGATTTTACAACATAATACGTGTGTATGGGTTATGCACGCGCATTAGCTATTATAATCGAGTAATCGTGATTATAATGTGACTTTTCAATTGTTCCAGATTATCTGGTGCTTCGCCGTGCTGGCACTGACATGGCGGACAGCGAGTGGTCACGGCAGACTCATTGAACCTCCATCACGCGCCTCCGCATGGCGCTTCGGCTTCGACACACCACACAACTACAACGACCACGAACTTTATTGCGGAGGCTTCTCCAGACAGTGGAACAAGAACGACGGGAAATGCGGAGTCTGTGGAGACGCATGGGACGCACCACCCCCCAGAGCTCACGAACTCGGGGGCAGATTCGGCAAAGGTGTCATCGTCCGCAAATACGCGCCCCAAGACTCCATCGTCATCAAAGTAGAACTAACCGCCAATCACAACGGCTTCTTCGAGTTCAGAGTTTGCGACGAGCCAAAAGGAACCACTCAAGATTGTTTAGACAAAAACGTACTGAAACTAGACGGTAAAGATGACGGAACCAAATTCTACCCGAAAGATGGAAATAAAGTATACGAGATGAAATATAAGCTACCTGAAGGATTGAATTGTTCCCATTGCGTGCTGCAATGGAGATATATTGCTGGCAATAATTGGGGTTCATGTGGAAACGGGACCGAGGCCGTGGGGTGTGGCCCACAGGAAGAATTTAGGGCATGTGCTGACATAGCTATAGGAGAACGCTTCGCCACTACGACCAGACGTCCCAGACCGAGCTACGTGCCTCCAAACAGAAGACCAACAGTGCCAACTCCAGAAGAGTCTACTGGAAGCTCTTGGTACGGCTTCGTGGTCGCCATCGTCACGTTGCTCGTTGCTATCGGCGTTCTAGCAGCAATTTACTTGTATTACTACAGAGGTGGCTTTAAGATTAAGAACTTCCTTAAGTCGAAAGTGCCACCACCAGCGCCTGTTCCTCCACCGAGGCACAAGAGGTCATCTCTATCGAGAGAACAGCCTCCAGAGCTAACGCCATCAAAAATAGGGATCGACTCGGGATTCGAGACGGTGGACCTGAGAGCTAAGTAGGAGAGTGTGGATAGTATAAGCTGACCTACCTAAGCTGCCTTTACCTAGTGATATAAGTCTTGTGTGACTGAGTTACGTAGAGATTTGACTTCAGAGGGCTTAGTACGAGTTTGTATTCGGCGCTCTGATTGGCCGGCTCTAATGAACCAGCCAATCAGAGCGTCGAACGCGGTCTCATTTCGGTTACTTTAAAAGTAAAATAAATTCGTACTAAGGCCCCGAACAAGTCGGTTCATAGGTGATTAACTTAATTTTAATTTTAGGTTAATTTTACTTTTGTAAATTAATAGATATTATTTATGTTAAATTAAATGTTATGATTGAATTCGTGATTCTATTATTTTACCCAAAAATTATGTGTGAATTACAATGTTGGATTTTACTGTACACTTGTAGCAGTTGCGGGACGAATGCAATGTGTTACGGCTTCGATTTCCGTACGGAACGCTTCTTTGCGTGATCCACAAACTATTGTTGAAACTCGACACAAAGTAAATTGTTCCTGAATGGTGGTGATGTGGACGTGAGCATTTTGTTTTTTAATGCACCTACGACAACGACACAGGAGAAAATCCTATTGTGGAATAAAGTATTTAAAAGTCTAGTATAATGAGAAATGAAAAAAATAGGACTAATAATTAACATTGGGGATAATAAATACCTACTTATTATTTATAAAATGGAAACTCAAACTCAATGATTACCAAGAAAACAGTAACTTGGGCACCTACTTACTACTTAAAACAATCCTTACTAATATTATAAATCGAAAAGTGAGTTTGTTTGTTTGTTCCACCTTCACGCCGTAACTACTAAACCGATTGCTTTGAATTTTTGCAAACGTAAAGTTAGAAGTCCGGATTAAATAATAGGGTACTTTTTATCCCGGAAAAATTTGATATTCTCGAGAGAAAACGAAATTATTAGTATAGATGGCGCTGTGTGTATTGGTATATATCACATAGGCTACTTTTTATCTTTTTGTGACGCGAGCAAAGCCGCGGGTAAAAGCTAGTAATAAATAAGTTACAGAATATTGTATAACTTATTTACTATATTATATAAAAAAATATATAATAGACTGCCTCGTTGGCCGAGTGGTCGCAAGTGCGACTGCCGGGCAAAGGGTCTCGGGTTCGATTCCCGGGTCGGCAAGGTATTATTGGGTTTTTAAAAAAATTCTCAGTAGTAGTAGGAGTCTGGAATTGTGCCCGGTATATGGCAATAGGCTCACCCCCTATTACATGGGACTCATAACATAAATATTAAATAGTGAAAAGTGTTAAATTGTACAGTGGCATAATGTGCACCTCTCGCTACCCCTTCTTCTTCTTCATTTTTTAAATTTCATACAATCTGTGATTCTAAGAAATGTGTTACCGGTGCTACCCACGGAGATCAGGATGGCAACCAGTCGCTTATCTTTCAAAACCAAGGTTCACGAGCACTTACAATTATTAATTATTAATATTTGCTTAGTCACCTGACCTGTCACTTTAATTTCTGCACCACCTTAAAGTCGACTTGTAAGACAATGCCCAAGACATTAAGTCCACCTGTACATGTGGTTTTGTACTAAGTCTAAATAAATAAATTAAGTATTTATTATAATACGCCTTCGCTACTCAATATTGGTTCTTAGAGTGAAAACCACGCAAAGTCTTGAGTTCAATTCCCGATAGTTGACAGCATTATTTCAATTGTAGCATTGAGTTGGAGTTTAAACGTTAAACTAGCCCATTTGTATAGCACTTTCAACAGCAACGCACCTGTGACCTCTCTGGTATTGCGGGTGTCCATGGGCGGCGCTGATCGCTTACCATCAGGTGATCCGTCTACTCTTTTGCCTCCTACCTCCTGAGTGTTGCATTCATAATGCGCACGCGGATCACAATAACTGGTTTCAAAATCCTACCAATCTTAAATAATTTTCTACCATACTTTAGATTGTCTATGGTCTTGTAAATGGCAACATTAAGTAAAATGTCACTGTCAAATGTCAATACCACAGACAAAATACGCAAAACAAACGTGCTGTGAAAAAGCCTAAAAAGTACCGAAAGGCAATTTATTTTGCGAAAAAAAGCATTATAAATGAAAAATGGCGGTGCGGCCACAGCACATGCACGATGGTGGAATTGTGGAGCGTCGGTTGCGACCAATTTACGGTAACAACTTCACTGGAGCGAGGGTTCAATAATTCAGACAACCTCTTCATTGGAGGTGTTGTTTTTCGATGAAAATATGTAGATTCCTGAATTTTCCAGACTGGTTGGACATTGGCAATAACAAGAAGGCGCTGCAGGAAGCCGAGAAAGTGCTTAAAAAAAGTCCTTCTTTGCAAGCGGCGAGAGCTTTGAAAGCCCTAGCACTTTTTAGGTTAGGAAAAGGACTTGAAGCGCAGGTAGTTCTTGATGCACTGGCTGATGAGAAACCGAGCGATGATACCACGCTGCAGGCGATGACGATATCCTATAGAGAATCTCAACAACGTAAGTAACTAACATTTGCTGTACTAGGAAACATAGACATGAATAAAGCTGTTAAATAACTAAAGAGTTTCGAGTTGGAGTGTAGAACCTCAACAAAAGACGATGTCACAGTATGTCTAGTTCATCCTGAAGATATATTTGGTAGATGTTATGTATGTTGTATGTATAGATGATAAATAAAAAATAAAAAATGTTGCTACTCAATATTTATCTCTGTTGCCTAGCCAACATACCTATGCAGGTATTTAACAAACTAGATTAACATTCCTATTTGAAAATTTGTCTAAAATAAAACCAATAATGATAAGAATAAAGACAATAGTGTGACAAAGTAAACTGAATTCTTATTCTATTGTTCTTTTATCAAAGTTTTTCTTAAATTATTCTTAGCATGTGAATTAATTAGTTTTAATTAGTCGTATGAAATAACTAGCTGTCTATATTACATATGTATCTATACATATAATGTAGTATGTAGAACCTAAACCATCTAGAATGATACCCACAATACCATGACCCTAAAGATTTGAAATAAAACTAAAATCAGTATGAATCTAGTGTATTTATGTCAATTAATTAATACAAATTTAAATATGTATAAGTCAAGATTGTATAGAATACCAAAATATACTAATGTTAAGAATATAATTAGCACAGAAATTATACACTCGTGGTTTTTTAATGTGTATCTTTATGAAGATACAAAATAATTTAAACACATTAATTTAAGAAAGTGGTAAAGTTTAAAGTCATTCCTTTGGATATAGCAGATGTATATACAAACACATTATTATGTTTGTATGATTGTATGTGTGTGTGTTTTATATGTGTTTACCTATATGTGTACGTTTGTTAGTAAATATTATTCACTAGTTCTACTTTGCCCACATTCCTGTGGAAAAACCCTGTGGACCGTAATCTACAATTGTTCTGAGTTTCATCCTGGTCCCATCAACTGTTTCTATATGATTAAGTAACAGACAAACAAACAAACTGTTATTATAAAATTTTAAAATATTATTATTATTTAGTAAGATTATGAACTCTAGCTTCGAAAGTTCTACTGACAGGGCCCAATAGGGCTGATGCCGATATAGAGCCGCGGAGGAGTTAACGGTTTGACGCGGCTCCGACTCAAAGTGCAGGAGTAGGAACAGAGAGGTTTTAGTCAGTAAGAGTCTGACACTCCTCACCTCACCCGGGCGTCGAAGAAGCTATTGGATGAGTTTCCCTCCTCAAAAAATTAAAGCTTCAAAAGTTAAACCTAAAACCTAAGAATAAGAATAATGTTTATTTCAGAAAATATTACAATTTTATTGTATCCTGGACCTCACACTAGGATTCCCTGTGTCATGAGGCCCAGACTCGTTGTGAACATGGAACAAGTTTGTGTGTTTGTTTGTTACTCAATCACTTCAAAATGTCTACAGCACATAGGGTAGTTTTTATTCCACAGAAATGTGGGCGAAGCCACTTCCAGAAGTTAGTTTCCAATTAAATTAAAGTTCTGTGTATGTTAAATACATTATAATTTCTGATTCCTCAGTACACAAAGTCTGCATGTTATATGAGAATGCGGTAAAGTCAGAACCAACCAATGAAGAGCTGCACTCCCATTTGTTCATGTCCTACGTGAGGGTCGGAGACTATCGGTCACAACAGCGGGCTGCCATGGCTCTGTACAAGTTTGCTCCCAAGAACCCTTACTACTTTTGGGCTGTTATGAGCATTGTTTTACAGGTTGGTATAAAGTTGTTATACATTTCCAAGACTTTTTTTTTAAATGGACTAAATTAAGTCTTGTGTTGTACCAGTATTATATTACCAGTTCAACTCATTCGTAACTGTGTTATAACTCTTAATGGGAGTGACATGTTAAACTTTTTATGCCAAATTAAAAGGCTAAGAAATTAGTCACTATATTATAATGCAATCAGACTGCCTTAAGTAATACTATAAACTTGCAACTTTTACTATTAACTAACTACAATTCATTGTCTCCACTACATTTCATAAATCTTCAACAGGCCAAAACATCAGAAGACAACACAAAAAGAGGCATCCTACTAGCTCTAGCTCAAAGAATGGTGGACAACTTCATAAGCGAAAACAAAATGGAGGCCGAACAAGAAGCCCGTCTTTACATTATGATCCTAGAACTTCAGGAAAAATGGGAAGATATTTTGAAATTCATTGAGAGCCCGTTATACTCCCAGCTGGTACCAGGATCCACTGCTCAAGCCTCCATCCCTTATCTAAAGAAGCTCGGTCAATGGAAACGGCTCAACGTAGTTTGCAAAGAACTCCTATGGGACAATCAAGACCGCTGGGACTACTATGTACCGTACTTTGACTCAGTATTCTATCTGATGAAGGAGAATGAAGAAGATACGGATAGTTCTATTGATAATACTGCGGAGAAGTGCCATGAGTTCATTTGTCAATTGGTTGAAAGTATGTCCTCGGGACGGACACTTAGAGGACCGTACTTGGCTCGGTTGGAGCTGTGGAAGAGATTGGCTGTTGATGGAGACCCTACGTCCCTGATTGGTAGTGGTTTGGCTTTATGTGTGCAATATTTAAGAGTATTTGCTAACAAACCTTGTGCGGTGCCAGATTTGAGACCGTACCTTGGAATGATACCGCAGAAGGAGAGAGAAGAGAATTGTAGAGAGTTCCTGACTTGTCTTGGCTTTGATGAGAACAGTGAGCCGGAGTCGGTAAGTTATCCTTTTTAAGTATTTATTTTTCTTCCCATACTTTTGCTTATGGGACTCCAACTGACACATATATGATGAAAGCATTTTAATCACATTCTGCGTATAAAAACTGCAAAAGAATTAATTTATTACTTTTTTCATTTATCACGATATATCTCATTCTTAAAAGGGTCGCGAATTAAAAAAGTCCCTGAAAGTAAAATAAGAAGACTTCTATTTTTACTTTAATATAATAACTATCAATGCAAAGAATAATAATACAACAAAATATACAGTTTTGTATTTCAAAGTAAGTCATAAATGCTTACTGATAGGTTTGATTATTATCAGTAACCACTGAGATATGAGGTATGTTAACAGTGTATGTGACTAGCGCTGTGTCGAGATAAGGTGTAACTTGACTTGCTGAGAAATAGTGACGTTATCGCATCGTTATGTATGCAGTTGTGAATTCATATCAGAGGTCTTTCAATTCCTAAATCTTTTTTTTTTTTTTTTTTTTTTTTTTTTTTTTTTTTTTTTTCTTTGGCAACTGAGTCTCCACTACGATGTTGTCGACTATACTGCCAGTGTCGAGTGGTGACGGCAGTTAATGCACCGTCGAACTTTAACTTTCTGGTAGTTGTTAGTAACTGGAAGAGACAAAAACAATTGGGTTAGTAAACATATACCGTCAATAGACCTAAAATTATAATATTATTACCTAACACCAGATAAATAATTAAATAGAAACAATCATAACACACAATATTTACATAAATACACACCGTTATATTTTAATACAATTTTCTTTAATAAATTTGGACAAGCACTTAATTAATTTGGGAGAAAAATTTGTTAAGAGGGAGTGGAAGTTGATTGGAAGAGGGATTTGGATTTTGGGAAGGTTTCCATATAAATCGAAGGATTGGGAATTTAGAGGGCAAGAGAAAAATATGTGGTCTAGGGTTCCCTCATCGAGACCACATTCGCACAGCGAGTTGTCACGTACACGGATCTTGGCAAGGAATACCGGACTAGTACAGTGGCCGAGTCTGAGTCTGCACAAGGACGAAATAGTTTGTCTGGGAAGCTTCTTATACTTGGAAAACCAAGGTTTCCGCCGGATGTCGGGCTGGATACTTGCAAAGTAAGCTCCTTTACGCTTGGAGGAGTCCACCCACACTGCAGCCCACGAGTCGAAAAGCTTGAGTTTGGTATCCGCGCGTATGTCATACCCATACACAATGTAGTGGTGACGTTCAACATTATTCACGGCCGCAAACTTTGCCAATCTGTCAGCACACTCGTTACCGCATATACCAGAGTGGCCAGGGATCCAGTCCTAAATCTTAACAAAAGGTTAAACTTTTACATTCAAAGACAAAGTCAAAGCACATATTTAAATTAATACGTTATTATACGTTGGTATATCGTACCGAAAATCCCCAAAATTTGTTCATACAGAAGTAGTCTCTATACATCGGAAATAAGGTCTATAATGGAATTAGTGGAGAGAGGTCACTGGTGACAGCTTGGGGATTGTACAGTTAATCTATGATTAGGCACTTTTGAAACGTCAAATCGAATTGTTCGTTCCAAAGTGTAGTTTCAAATGGAGAAGAACGAGAAATAAACTCCATTTTTAATAGCTTTAACAGTTAAAGCAGACAAGACTTTAACTGTCAAGTCAGACAAGCATGACTATGGAGATGATGACAGGGTATGAAAATTAAAAATCTAATTAGTCCGTAAGTTAGGTAATTAAAAAATATAGGACACGTATTTTTTTATTTTGTCGTATAATAAAACAATACTTAGATAAAACGAATCAAAGTTTAGGAGTGGGGGCTAAAACGTCATTTCTCAGTATAAAATGTACTGAGAAATGACGTCACGCGACATTTCAAATCAATATATCTTCGAAACTATCGTCTACCCTATTATCATGCTCTCAATTATTCTCTTACTCGACAGAACTAATGAAATAAAACGTAACTAGTAAATATTGGCACTTAATTAGCAATTTGTAATTTTTGTTGGCTTATTATTCGCGAAGGCATCGGCATCAATGCTATAAAAACTGCATAAATTATTTGTAACTTATGCAGATTTTTTTTATTCTGTGGTCGCGATTAAAGATGGTGTTCTTTTTTTCCTGTGTATATTAATTAATGATCGTCACCTTCACTCCAGGCGGATGACATACAACGTCACATATCCTGTCTCGCCGCCTGGCGCCTAGTAGCGGCGCCACTGTCGTCTACTGGCGCCCTAGAGTTAGCTGCCACGCTCCGTGGACATTATATGCGATGTCTACAGAAAGGACTTGTCACATCAAATATCACGGAGTTCTGTGCTGCCGACCATTACGGCATTTTGGCTGCTCATCATTATTTTTATGCTGGTAAATTTTATTTGTTTTTTTAATTTAAAACACTCACTTTTTACTAGTCATGTTATATACTATGTAATAGATAGAGAGAGTATTGCCATACCCTAGGTAAAATGCCGGAAAATCTTCAATGACTGGCTTACGCGGGGGCTGGGCAACCGGCTGCCGTGCAACGGGTACCGGGTTCAATACCCGCTCGAAGAAACTCTTTGTGTCATTCACAAGTTGTTGCTACGGGTCTGAGTGTCATATGAATGTGAATTTGTATGTTTCATACGCGCCCTGGCCACGACAGAGAAGAAAATCCTCATACGTTTAAAAACAAATATATTCTGTGCCTGACCCGACAATCAAACCTCTTACTCAGTCGCTCGACAAACGAAGTCATCAATCAGAATTTCAAAAACCCAATAATAGTTTAGTCTGTACAAGCGATACTCCAAACAGCTAATACCCCTTAAACCTATTCATCATTATAATTATTTCCTGTCATACCCAGGAGTAGAGCAGCAGAGCTCAGCCCCTATCGTGGAGGCGCTGTGCCTGCTGGAGCTGGTGCTGCATCACTCGCCCGCCAACTTCCACGCCAAGCTGCTACTTGTCAAGCTGTACCATCTGTTAGGTAAGTACTACCATTATAGTAGCAGTTTTACCAACCACTCCTAGACCATCTTGTTATTGCTTATATCTTATTAGAATAGAACATTTGTATTGTACACTGTATATCTACGTGATATAAATTATCACTGTAGCCTATGGAAGTGTCGCGGAGAACCTAACGGGTTACCGGGGCTCCGGCTCGACGTGCAGGAGAAGGAACGGGGTTTTTTGGTCAGTAAGAGTCTGACACTCCCTCCCGCCTCAGGCGGGAGCAGTCATTCGATGATTTTTCCCCTTCAAAAAAAAAACAGCCTATGAAAGTGTCGCGGAGAACCTAACTGGTTACCAGGGCTCCGGCTCGACGTGCAGGAGAAGGAACGGGGTTTTTTGGTCAGTAAGAGTCTGACACTCCCTTCCGCCTCAGCCGGGAGCAGTCATTCGATGATTTTTCCCCTTCAAAAAAAAAACAGCCTATGAAAGTGTCGCGGAGAACCTAACTGGTTACCAGGGCTCCGGCTCGACGTGCAGGAGAAGGAACGGGGTTTTTTGGTCAGTAAGAGTCTGACACTCCCTTCCGCCTCAGGCGGGAGCAGTCATTCGATGATTTTTCCCCCTTCAAAAAAAAACAGCCTATGAAAGTGTCGCGGAGAACCTAACTGGTTACCAGGGCTCCGGCTCGACGTGCAGGAGAAGGAACGGGGTTTTTTGGTCAGTAAGAGTCTGACACCCTTCCGCCTCAGGCGGGAGCAGTCATTCGATGATTTTTCCCCTTCAAAAAAAAACAGCCTATGAAAGTGTCGCGGAGAACCTAACTGGTTACCAGGGCTCGGCTCGACGTGCAGGAGAAGGAACGGGGTTTTTTGGTCAGTAAGAGTCTGACACTCCCTTCCGCCTCAGGCGGGAGCAGTCATTCGATGATTTTTCCCCTTCAAAAAAAAAAACAGCCTATGAAAGTGTCGCGGAGAACCTAACTGGTTACCAGGGCTCCGGCTCGACGTGCAGGAGAAGGAACGGGGTTTTTTGGTCAGTAAGAGTCTGACACTCCCTCCCGCCTCAGGCGGGAGCAGTCATTCGATGATTTTTCCCCCTTCAAAAAAAAACAGCCTATGAAAGTGTCGTGGAGAACCTAACTGGTTACCAGGGCTCCGGCTCGACGTGCAGGAGAAGGAACGGGGTTTTTTGGTCAGTAAGAGTCTGACACTCCCTCCGCCTCAGGCGGGAGCAGTCATTCGATGATTTTTCCCCCTTCAAAAAAAAACAGCCTATGAAAGTGTCGCGGAGAACCTAACTGGTTACCAGGGCTCCGGCTCGACGTGCAGGAGAAGGAACGGGGTTTTTTGGTCAGTAAGAGTCTGACACTCCCTCCCGCCTCAGGCGGGAGCAGTCATTCGATGATTTTTCCCCCTTCAAAAAAAAAACAGCCTATGAAAGTGTCGCGGAGAACCTAACTGGTTACCAGGGCTCCGGCTCGACATGCAGGAGAAGGAACGGGGTTTTTTGGTCAGTAAGAGTCTGACACTCCCTCCGCCTCAGGCGGGAGCAGTCATTCGATGATTTTTCCCCCTTCAAAAAAAAACAGCCTATGAAAGTGTCGCGGAGACCTAACTGGTTACCAGGGCTCCGGCTCGACGTGGAGAAGGAACGGGGTTTTTTGGTCAGTAAGAGTTGACATCCCTCCGCTCAGGCGGGAGCAGTCATTCGATGATTTTTTTCCCCCTTCAAAAAAAAACAGCCTATGAAAGTGTCGCGGAGAAAACTGGTTACAGGCTCCGGCTCGACGTGCAGGAGAAGGAACGGGGTTTTTTGGTTAGTAAGAGTCTGACACTCCCTCCCGCCTCAGGCGGGAGCAGTCATTCGATGATCTTTCCCCCTTCAAAAAAAAACAGCCTATGGAAATGTTGCTCGCACATTGTCTTTTCCGATTTTAGATCTTATTACTCCTCTTGAAATATATACCATGTCCATTGTCCAGTGTCCACGGTATATTCTTAACGGATTTTTCAAAATGTCTACAGGAATGTTTAAATTAGAATTTTAGTGAACATTCATAATTATGACATTCCATCAAAATTAACACTTATTTGTATTTTATGTGTTAAGGCGTAAATATAGTGTTCATTTTTATTTATTTCTAAGTACCGAATCACGTTATATCAACGGCTTATAACCCACCGCTAACCTAAAATATCTTCTCACACGGAAAAGGTTAAAGGTCATCGCACACTTAATAAACACGGGTCCAGCATGGCTTCGGAATGGTGTTTTTTGCTTTAGTAACAAAACAAAAAGATTGTAAGGCTCTTACAGCTTATTTATATTGACTTTATGAAATATGTCACACGACATACAATTTAAAGTTCATGTTTAAATGACAAGTTAATTGGAGCTGTGCTTGTTAGGTGTGCGTCGGACCTTAAGTACTCAGTGCTCGTAAATTAATAAATGGTGTTTCTTCCCCCCCCCCCCCCCAGGTAACGCGTTGGCAGCAGACAGTATCTACCAGCGCCTGGAAGTGAAGCACATCCAGCTGGTGTCGCTGGGCTGGCTGCACTGCGCGCGCCTCGCCCCCGCCTGCCTCGCCAGCAGGGCGCTGCAGCTACTGGCCGACACCAGGGCCTTCCTCAAACATCATGGGAAGGATGTAAGTTACTACTGTGTTTTCATTTAGGAGTAGGAAAGCTATACTTCAGCGCGAATGGGCCGGCTCGACCGGAGTCATACCACGGCCGAGCAGAAAACCGAAACAACGCTTGCATTGTGTTTCATCGTGTGAGTGAGTTTACCGGTGGCCCAATTAAAAAGCAACAATAAAAAAATATATAAAAAATAATAATAAAAGAACTACATGTCCTTGACAAAAGGGTTTGCCAACTCAGTAAGAGTTGGGCACAGTTGATAAAAAGAAAAGAAAAGGAAGAAGTTTAAAAATAAATATACAAATCCATAAACAAATCTTTTGACAATAATGAAAATATTTCCATCCAAAAATTATACACATCAAAGTTTTTTTTAACAAATCTATTCATTGGAATTTTACATAGGTATGGCCTTAAATTCAAAGTCGCCAAACTTTGACATTTGACCTTGACGTTTGACGTTTAACCTTTGTAGAGCGTGGAGCACCTAACGTACGCGTACAAGTACGGTACGTTCGAGAAGCTGGTGGAGCTGTCTGCGTGGGCGGCGCGCCTGGAGGCGTGCGGCTGGGGGGCGGCGGCCGCGCGGGACCAGGCGCTGCTCGCGCAGCTCGCCGGCCCGCCCGCGCTACTGCACCAGCCCTCCCGTCTGCCCGCACTGCCTACGTACGTATTTTTAGCTGAAATTAATTACCAATCTGAATCCAAATTTTTTGGATTAAGAATATTTCTTGACTTTATTTGTATGGAGTCTGTCCAAAACTTAAATCCATCCATATTTTTAACATTGATTATTAGTTTCCACAGTCAGTTGATATTATGTATCTTTTCTTTGTTCTCATTGAATAAGGTAGGAACTGTGTCTTATGCTATAACCTCTCTCCTTAACTTCAGATAAATCTTATAGGTATCATAGTTTGAATCTTTCGTTGTAGTTTATAATTTGGTATAAAAGCAGAATTGGAAGGTTAACCACCAACACCTACAATTCCCTCCGGATAGTTCTATTCATTGTTCTACATTTTTCATTTGAAAAATGTCGACAATTTGCACTACCATATTACCTTGTCTTAAAATTAAAAGTAAGAAACGCAATGTTCTTCTACGAAACAAAAGACTTTAAAGGCCTTGCTAGTATTATAACAAAAACAAGCACACATTTAACAACAAAATAAACTTGTATTACAGCGACAACCGCGACCTCAACGTTATAGTGAACTACGAGCCGCCGCAGTTCCAAGATGACAACTTGAAGGCGCGTACCTTTGACCAGGAGGTATCCTATCTCCGGCTCAAGGACGCCCTAGTGTCGGCCATCGCGCTATGTATCGAGCTGGCGGACAGTCGACCCGTGGAGGAGAAGAAGGGGCATTATGAACAACTGAATACTTGTGTAGAAGCTTTCAGTGGGGCGATGGAGAAATGTCGGCAGTTATACGCTGAGAAAGAAAGGATTAGCATATCTGCGCCGTTCCCTTCTAGGATTATTGGTAAGGATTTTTATGTTATAAAATTGTTAGGATGGTGGTGCTTTTGTGATTTGGAAGGTTTAAGCCTCGTTGTCCTGCCTGCCTCGTTGGCCGAGTGGTCGCAAGCGCGACTGCCGGGCAAGGGGTCTCGAGTTCGATCCCCGGGTCGGGCAAAGTATTACTGGGGTTTTTAAAAAAATCTCAGTAGTAGCACGGAGTCGGGAATTGTGCCCGGTATATGGCAATAGGCTCACCCCCTATTACATGGGACTCATAACATAAATAGTGAAAAGTGGGTGTTACATTGTACAGTGGCATAATGTGCACCTCTGCCTACCCCTTCGCGGATAAAAGGCGTGATGTTATGTTATGTTATGTGAAGGTTTAAGCTTTGGCGGGGTTTGATAATTGTGTTATTGTATCTATATTTTGTCGAGTATATTAACCTTTTCAACGCCACGGTCGGCTATTTATAGACAAACAAAATATGACGTGATCCGTCACAGCCGAGAAGAAAACATGATTTTTAAGTACATTTAGTTTGTCGGCTACAGCCGATCGCGGCAGTCAAAAGGTTAAAATAAGTAAACAATAGCTAAGTAAATTATGAAGTTACAAACTTTTAGTGGATATTAGTTTCTCTGTAATAATTCCGAGCACATAATTGTATAAATGAATTAGAAACCATTTTTGAAGTATTAAAAACAATTATATCTAATCAGCAATGTCAACCTTTCCAGCATTTGTAAACTCACCGGTACCTTACCGGGAGTTGTACGCGACGATACTGCGACTAGTCGGCGAGTTGGCGATCAGTCGCACGACTGCAGCGCACGACGCGTGTGAGACTGTCGCACGACTGTTGCCCAAGGCTCAGCTACAGCTGCAGGACGAGATCGCCGTCAAAGGAGACCCCGTCTGGAGGATGAGAGACCGACTTGAAAGCCTATCTAATTATTTAGAGGTTAGTACACGCAACTTATTAAGTTTTTGTGGCAACCTATTGAACATACTCTTTCAGTTTTTTTAAAGAGTTGAATAAACCTTTATTTACTCTAGCAATACCACGCCGTAACGGTTTACTAAACATACTAATTAATTATTATGTTTTCGGCTTACTCACGTAACTATTTGACGAGGAACTCGACTAGTTTCAATCCATGCTAGAGGCTCGTATTCATGAGCAGCATTCCGCTACCCGCGACACGGTGACTGTCGGCGACGTGAGTAAGCCGAAAACATAATATGTAAATTAATAAGTATTTCTCACGAAAGTTTTAATATAAACTTATATTTTATTTCGTAATTATTAAGAGTCATTGTAGAATATGGAATTCCCAAAATGTAATTTAATATAATAATAAAAACATCTCTATAAAAATGTTCTCTTTTTACAGTTCATAGGTATCATCACATTCTTGCTGGGCGTCTGCAACGAGCTGTTCTCCCCCGCTAGCGCCAAGAAATCCAAGAAGAAAACCAACCACTCTCCCGACGAAATCAAAACATCAGAACTGTTGAACAAACTCAACAACAGCGCGCAAACTTCAATTGCCTTCCTCGAAAATATACTAGACGAGTGGCCCAAGTATGAAGTTAGCATCGATGAAATACTCGCCAAATTAAGCCTAGACGATAAATACCAAAGCCCAGTAGAAAATAAACTGAAAACAGGCCGAGACGACATGCTGAACGACGTTAGGAACATTCTCAAAAGGAAATCGAAATACTTGAAGAGTCTGCTACAATGATGCCTTTGGACTAAGTGCTTGTACGAAGTAATTAAGTATTGTTTTTATAATAAATATACATATCTTGTAAATACTTTTGTCTTTGCTGTACGCGTTGTTGATGCCGGCGGAGTTGAGTGACTTAGGCCTAATGTCCATGACGCGTTACTTCGATGAGGTATGCAACTTACAAATGCTTGCTTCTTGCTTAAAAACAATGAAAGTGTCCACGAAGCGGCAATGATAATTCCGCTTGTCGTCATTTCTAGGTTGCATGCATTCGATAAATGACGCGTCGTGGACTGTAGGTCTTACCTCACGGCTAGAAGCGATGCCGCTTCAAGTTTTATTGACATAACGATTGTTGTTACTGAATAATTAGTCAATGTTTTTATAATAAAAACGTCCCCAAACATCAAAAATATTATATTGGACAACAGAATGAATTTTAAATTTTAAAATAGTGTATCAGAATTTTGCCTTATTATGAATATTAAGACACGAAGTAGCATAATGTAAAGACAATAGCCTAGTTGGTTTACCTGCAGCTTTAAAGCTAGAAAATAATTCACTGCCATGGGATAATCACTCTTATTACTTTGGCGCTTTATACGGCACGAGGCAATTATAGTGTGCAGTGCGCCAGTATAATAGTCTAATTACAACTAGTCTTCCTGTCTCATTTGTATAGCAATATAATCTGTAAATTTCATTACATTTTAGACTGTTTGAGAAAAGTATGCTTGAGTAAATTTACAAAATTTAAACACTACATTGTTAGATTAATTCAAGTTATACAGTTTACTCTGTTGTCGCGCATTCTGCTGTTTATGAGCCCCCGTTGTGGCTTGAAACTAATCGAGTGACCTCGTAGAACAGTTACATGAGTAAGCTGTATAGTGTATAGTCTAAATTATATTATTGCTTGAATACTGAAACACTATTCATTTTTAATTCGCGCTTAAGTACAGTTCTGTCATTAGAAAGTCTTTGTAAAACGACAGAGATGGCACGATATTTAAGTACAATTTAAAATTAGGTAGGCTTTCAGTATTCGAGCATATGTCTCACAATAGTTAAAATACTACATTGTTATTCAGATATAGCATTTACACTATAATAATATTTATGATGAAAATATTCTGCCTTTTATGTGATAGTTTTATTTTCATATACTCGATAAATTCGTATAAGCATCATGCCGACTCGCTTCCTTATCCCAAATTGTAATAAAGGTTCCAAAAATATATTAAAAAATGTTAGAAATTCGTTTATATCCCATTTTTGTACAAAAATATTCTGAAATTGTAAAAGTTGTAATTTATTAAAGCATTGCCAATAACTAAATAGTCTTATCTTTGGTGCTCAACTTGCAAGTGACAATGTAGTGTTATTATAAAAATACAATAATTTCAAAATACATGTTGTTTGCCTAACATAGTATGTAATTAAAGGGCGCAATTGTTCGTACCTAAGAGTGAAATACGATTTTGTATTTTAATTATAATTTATACAGACTTTCTTTTGTTTTATTTTTGCCCCACTACGATTTTTTTCTGTTCTTGGGTGCGTTTACAAACATACAAGTTCACATACACATGACACTCAGACCCGAAACAACAATTTGTGGATCACACAGAGTTGGTTTGTGCGGGAATAGTATCAACTGCACGTTACGCGGCAGCAGGTTGCCCAGCCACCGCGCCAACCTTGCAGTCAATATTATAACTAGCATCTTCCAGCGGCCACGCCCGTTCCCGTGGGATAAAGAGTAGCCTATGTGTTATTGTAACCCTGACCATAATCTACCCCGGTTCCTAATACCATCCCGATCCCCTTAACCGCTTTGCCGTGATTGAGTAACAAACACACAAACTCACTATGTAACTCACATTTATAATAATTTACTAGCTACTTCCGCGCGGTTTCACTTGCTCTGCTCGGCGCCTATTAATCGTAGCGTGATGTTTTATAGCCTATAGCCTTCCTTGATAAATGGGCTAACCAACACAGAAAGAATATTTCAAATCGAACCCGTAGTTTCGGAGATTAGCGCGTTCAAACAAAGAAACTCTTCCGTTTTATATAATAGTATAAGATTATTAGTAGCCCCCAGCTCAACCCAAATTCTCCATTTACTCTCCAATAAGCACCCGTAATTAGGTTATTTGTAAGACCTATATCTTGAGGTATTAAAAATCAAAAAGTTTTGTGTTTTATTAATTTCTTCTTCATACAAAATTTCAGTAAATGGCGGACTTAATGCCTTGCAATACCTTGCAATGCAAGGCATGAATGGAAAAAAGGCAAGTATGCCTTGCAATACAAGGCATTCTCTGACAGTTAACAGCATGGTGGATTTCACCTTCATAGGGCGTTAGCCATGTTTTATACTTTCTGCATACGACATTCATATCTACCTTCAGACCTTATGAACAGTGGTTGTGCCAATAGTGAAAAATGTCTCGGTTGAAGTTTCTAATAGAAAAAAATATAGACCAATCTCTTTAGCTAGGTACTGTAATTGTAAAAGTGTTTGATGGGTTATTGGATAAAAAACTTGACTGTTTTGTATCATTGCATGATGCACAATTCGGTTTTAGGGAAGGATTGTCAACTGAAAATGCAATACTATCTCTGAAACACACTGTTGACTACTATGTTAAAAGTAAAACTCCGGTTTAGGCTTGTTTCTTGGATTTATTCATGGCTTTTAATCTGGTGCCCTATAATAAGCTTTGGACGAAGTTAAGACTTGTAAGAGTCCCACCTGAGCTTGTGACTATACTCGCTTATTGGTACAGAGTGTTGTATTGGTATAAGTGTGGGAGAGCCATGCTTCGGCACGAATGGGCCGGCTCGACCGGAGTGATACCACGGCCTCACAGAAAACCGTGAAGCAACGCTTGCGTGGTGTTTCGTCGTGTGAGTGAGGTTACCGAAGGCCCAATTACCCTCCCATTCCCCAATCTCCCCAATTCCTGAATCCCCAACGATCCTCAAACTCCTAATCCCCAAAAGGCCGATAACACACTTGTAACGCCTGTGGTGTTCCAGGTGTCCATGGCCGACGCCGATTGCTTACTATCAGGTGATCCGTCTGCTCGTTTACCGGCTTATGCCATAAAAAAAACAGAGCAACTAAATGTGATAAGGTGGGGAAATGTATACTCGGATGAATACTCTCTACTAGAGTGCGGCGTGAGACAGGGCGGATTGACCTCGCCACGGCTCTTAAATATATATGTGAACCACCTGATTGAGGAGCTTAGTAGCATGCATTTTGGATGTCATATTGATGATATTTGTGTCAATAATTTGAGTTATGCTGATGATATAGTCCCCTCAATTAGGGGTCTCTGACAGCTGTTGAAGGTATGTGAGGATTATGCTCTGGGATGCCCCAGAGCATAATCCTCAGAGCATAGTGCTCGGGGCTTGAAGTATAACGAAAGTAATAGTGAGTTCATGTTATTTAAATGTAAGCAAACAAAAAACAATATCTTGATACCACCTTTTTATACTAAACGACTCCGTTTAGTAAAAACAAAACCTAAACCTCTGAGTCGCGTTGCACAGTTTCAATATCTTGGTCACATTGTAACTGACAATTTAAGTGACGATTTAGATATTGAAAGGGAGCACAGGACATTGTCGGTTCGCGGTAATATGTTGGCACACAGATTCGCTCGGTGTACCTACTGTTCCTGTTAAAATAACAATGTTTAAGGCATTCTGCCAGATATTCTACACCAGCGGTCTGGTGACAAACTTTACACAAAAAGCCTACAATGCCTTGCGTGTCGAGTAGGTATAATAATAATGTGTTCAGGTCTCTGTCTCGGCTACCACGATTTTACAGTGCATCCAGATGATTGCTGACGCTAACGTAGATGACCTCTACGCAATTATGCGTAAAAAAGTAGCGTCAGTAGGGCGGCGAGCTCGTGGGGGCCGTAATAGCGTTCTACGGATGATAGGCGTCAGAAATGATACTGTTGTGCTCAGTAGGTTCACTGAACTCCATATGTTGGGGTACGGTCGGGACTGGTGAGCCTATAGAGTAGACACCCCCCCATACTTAGTGTTGAGCGTTTAATTGTTGGTTACTAAAGTTAGTTATAAGATTTGTTGTAACTAGTAACAAAAGTGCCGCACCTATGGACTCTGTGTCTGAAATAAATGATTTTTATTTTATTATTTATACAGAAGTGCAGAAAAATGAAGCGGTTGATGCGAAGCCAGAACACAATTTTAAAACATTATGAATGTTTTGAGTCTGCCAATGCTTAAATGTATGCATGTGGACTTTTTATTTTAACTTTAAAGGAACTGCTATTTGTTCCCATTTTGATCTCTTTAGGCAGTGCATTGCACCGAAGAACAGCTTGAATGAAAGAAGTCAGTGCGATGAGAGATACATTAAAGGTGTCGTTTCTGAGATGAACGAAGTTTAGTGTGGTTGCGCAAGTATATTGGAAGTAATAGGCAAGGTAGCCTAGGTGAGCTCAGGTGAAAGAAGGAAAGTCAAGATAAGAGAATAGCGCCCTCTGCTGCCTGCGCAAGCGTATGAGCACTATGATCATATTTACGTAAGTTGAAAACCAATCGAATGCAGTTATTTAAAAGTTGGTCTAATTTGTTGAGTAGATCTGCATTCAGGTCGTAATAACAGACATCGGCGTAATCAATAATGAGGAAAATCAAGGTCTGCACAAGCTACGCCTTCACGGAGGACGGAAGAAAGTTCCTCAAACGATACAGAGCCCGCAATGATCCAGTCACTCTTGGCAAAAACTTATGTCCTGAGCACGACAGCTCAATGCGCTATCAATAGTCAGGCCCACCCCGGTCCTTCACGTCCTGACTGAACAGGACAGTTACACCGTTATACGATAGGAGGTGATATGGAGATGATTATGCTGTGTGTTACACATCGAGAATGGCTGGGATTCTGTTCAAAAAAAATTTGAACCCGAAGTCCACCTTTCCACCCCATCCCTTTAATTAAACTATACTTTTATATTATGAGACTGTTATAAAGTAGGTTTTTTAGATTCACTACCTATATAGAAAATATGTATTTTATGGGAGTGAGTTTATACGATTACAAAAAGTAGATTACTTTTTAGCTAGGGC